TTCATGCCAAAGTTAATACTATACCTCTGGCACTTCCAACTTTCTTTCGGTGTTTCAAGCCACACAGGAAGAAACGACACAAAAAATCCATGCCTACACGTATGGAGAATTTTATCCCGAATCCTAAGTAGGGATAAGTCAACACCTAACACGCGTTGCCGGTTAGTCTTTCACCGTAAAAAAAGGACAAAAGTCTACGTATTCAACATCGTAGCAGGTTGTTATTAATAACGCCGAAATTCATGCCTTACACGCATGGGGAACTTTATCCCAAATCCTCTAATTTTCTTTCAGTGTTTCAAGTGAAAATATAACACAGGAAGAAAAAAATGACAAAGTCTATGTATTCAAAATCATAGCATCAAGTCTAAGAGGGTTCATTCTCTTAGCATAACGTTACATGTGGAACGGACTTAGACAATCCATATGCTAGCCCGACTCAAACGGTAGTCGGTAAAGGCTTATCAAATCCGTTGATGGCTGAGGGTTTGCCAAAAATCCTATGCAGGTTTTCAGGCCCACCAGCTTAATGGACGTGAGCCAAGACTTGAAACGAATAAGCTGAAGACAAGTCTCAAAGACTTAGTCAAAAATGCATGAAAGTCACCTCCGCGTCTCACATCGAAACACCGAGGTCAGACCCGCGATGCAAAGACGATAACGCCAAAGTCATAGCCGCGTTTCAAGTCAAAATGCCGAAGTTAGACCAGCGATGCGAAAACCAAACGCTGAGGTCAGACACGCGATGCAAAAAACTGAACGCCGAGGTCACACCCGCGTCTCAAGTCCAAAATGCAGGGTCCACCCCCACATTCCAGAAGCAGGATTATGACGCATACCTTCACACAGGTCCTACGTGGCAAATCCCTTCAACCAAAATGCCTTCGAAGCGAGTGCAGAGAACAAATCCTTTACCACAAGGAATCAACAGCTCCAAGATCAGAGTTAAGATCCAAAGTATTCCGAAAATTCGTCCCAGTCAACCGCGAACTTTCGAAAACTTTGGAGAGGGTTCTGTAGGCTGTCTAAAAATCACAATAGATAGCTTATCCTCCATCAAACACCGATGATGGAAGTTACAATCTGACGACTTCCAGAAGGCTACAATTTGAAGACTTTCACGTAGATCGCTGAAGGTTACAATCTGACGACCTTCACGACAACCGATGAGAGCTCTAGTTCAACAGCATTCGCAATCAACATCGGGAGTTACAATCTGACGACTCTCATATTCTCAAGGAGCCAAGACGAAGATTACAAGACAATGATCTTTGCAACGCTATGACAAAAAGAGATTACTTGGTGATAATCCCTTCAAGGCAAGACGCGGAGGTCCTCCCCGTGTATCAACACCAAAATGCGGAGGTCCTCCCCGTGTGTCAATAGTAAAACGCCAGGGTCGAACCCGCGTTACAACATCAAAAAAAAAACGCCAGGGTCGAAACCCGCGTTACAATATCAAAACGCCAGGGTCGAACCCGCGTTACAACATCAAAAACGCCAGGGTCGACACCCGCGTTACAACATCAAAACGCCAAGGTCGAACCCGCGTTACAACATCAAAACACCAGGGTCGAACCCCGCGTCACAACATCAAAAACGCCAAGGTCGACCCTCGCATTTTTCTACGCCCTGCGGGTACCCAACTCCGTGTCTCCAGTCTAAAATGTGGAGTTAGGATCCTGAACGCCAACGTGGGCATTGTTTGACTCATTCAACATGAGCTGAACGGTTCTAAAACCGTTTCCCACGATTTGGGGGCGATTACACCCCATTATGGAGAGAATTAAGGGGGCGGTTACACCCCTTAATTCCCTATAAATATGGAAAAACTTTACACCCCATTATGGAGAGAATTAAGGGGGCGGTTACACCCCTTAATTCCCTATAAATATGGAAAAACTCAACTGAGTTCCGTTTGGATTTTCTTGGTTTGGATCAACCATTGGAGACAGGCTTTTGAGGAGATCGGCATCATCTCCCAACGAAGATCATCTTCAGCAACAGGGAGCCTCTGTCCTTGGCTTATAACCGATCTTCGGTTCAAATTAACTCTTTTTCAAGAGTTCAAACTCGATCAGAGTTATCAACTCATCAAGAGTTTTAAACTTGCCACGCAAGTTCTCCACAACGTCAAATCGTGAGGAGAAGACATCGTTCCAGTGAATCAAGACGTGCGGATCGTCAACGGAGAGCAAACTCGACGTGAGCATTCGAGGGAGGCACTCCATCGCCACCGAGAAGAACCCAGTTTTAAACAAAGAGGAAGAACCAATTTCGTTCTCCTCTCTTTTGTAATCAAGTTGTAATCGAGATCAAAGGAATCAAAGTCAAATTTTCTTTATTCTCTTCTTTGCAAATTTTCCATGAAGAGATCTATATGCATCAACCTGAGGGTTACAAGGTTGAGAACAAGGAGAATCATGTTTGTCGCTTGAGGAAATCACTATATGGATTGAAGCAATCTCCACGGCAGTGGTACAAGCGATTTGACTCCTTCATGCTGAAGCATGGGTTTTCCCGAAGCGACTATGATTGTTGTGTTTACATTCGAAAGCTTCGTGGAGGTAATTATATCTATCTCCTTTTATATGTGGATGACATGCTTATTGCATCGAAAAACAAGGTGGAGATAGATAGGCTAAAATCTCAACTTGGTAAAGAGTTCGAGATGAAGGACATGGGCGCTGCTAGAAAAATACTGGGTATGGAGATTAGAAGAGAGCGGACGAATCGGCGATTGTTCTTGAGTCAGAAGGGCTACATAGAGCGGGTGATCACGAGGTTCGGGATGCAAAGTGCGAAGTCGGTGGTGACCCCATTGGCTCCACACTTTAGGCTTTCAGGTAAACAATCTCCCACTACAGCGAAAGATAAGGCACACATGGAGCGTGTCCTTTATGCTAGTGCAGTTGGCAGCTTAATGTACGCAATGGTGTGTACACACCCTGATATTTCACAGGCGGTTAGTGTGGTCAGCAGATTCACGGCGAATCCGGGAAAGGCGCACTGGGAAGCGGTGAAATGGGTCCTGAGGTACTTGAAAGGTACCGCGGATACGGGTCTATGTTTTGGTGGAGATACATGTCAGGTCGACGGGTATGTGGACTCAGATTATGCGGGTGATCTAGATAGACGACGATCTACTACTGGTTATGTATTCAGAATACATGGAGCTCCAGTTAGTTGGCGATCGATGTTGCAGGCTAAAGTGGCACTTTCTACAACAGAGGCCGAGTACATGGCTATGGCGGAGGGAGTGAAGGAAGCATTGTGGCTGTGGGGTCTTCTAGACGATTTGGGGGTTGAGCAGGAGAGCGTGAACTTGTGGTGCGACAGTCAGAGTGCGATTCACTTGGCGAAAAATCAAGTTCACCATGCTCGTACCAAGCATATCGATGTCAGGTATCATTTTGTGCGGGATGTCATAGAGGAAGGCGATATTTCTCTCATGAAGGTGCATACGAATGAGAATCCCGCAGACATGTTAACCAAGGTGGTGACAGGTAGCAAGTTCCAGCATTGCTTGGACTTGCTTCATATCAGCCCGTGTTAATTTGCCCAAGAGGGCACGGCCCTGCGGGGCAGTGATGGAGGTGAGGTGGAGACTATGTTGGAGAATAGTTGCAGAACTACGATTAGCTTGATCCCGGTGGAGGGTACGTAGGCAGTCGCGGTATAGTGACGCAGCTGGTTTGGCCTGGTTTGGCCTATATCTCTCTGGTGGAGTTCGTAGGGGGTTCTTCTGGTGTTGTCGTTCAAAATTTGAGGTTTATCAAATGATGAACGAGGTGGAGAATTGTGATGGGGTGTGGGGCCTACCCGTGGGCCTGTCTGCCCACGCCCACGAGAACGCCGCCCTTGCTTGCTTGCGCGCGCGCACGCGATCTCGAGCCCGCGCGTGAAAGCGCCGCCCCGCCCCCTGCTTGCTTGCGCGCGCACTTCTCGTTTCCTTTGAGAAACAAGAATTTAGAGGTTGACTTGTGCTTTTGTGACAACGAAAGTCAGGGCTCTCTCTCAGGTGATATCGCTTCCGCGGCGACGGGCGTGACTCCGACCCAACACTTGTTATACGTTTCTTCTATCAGGCCCTCTGTAATAATACATAAAATGAAGAATAAAGATGCGAAACCGTGGACTTCCCCAAAAAAAAGTTCCAGGGCAGTCCCCATGGCTTTGATGTTTGTTGTACTGTGTGGATTTTCATTCTATCTTGGAGGAATTTTTTGCTCCGAGAAGAACAGATTCTCCACAAAAGTTGCAGTCCCAACTGCTCAATCTCGAAAAGATACCGCTTTGTCCCCTCTTCAAGTCAAGCCTATTGCATTTCCAGAATGTGGCATCGATTATCAAGATTATACACCGTGCACAGACCCTAAGGTACTTCCAGTACTGCTCATTTTAGATTGTATTTCTTTGTGCATGAAAATGACATCATCCCTAGTGGGTTTTATAATACGAGTACATAGCCAGAAGCTAGTTGGCAGAAAAATATTTAACTGACCTAATGTATTGTTGCCCCATTCTTGTGCCCATTTTGAAGAAGGAATTCGGTGTCATGCTGCATGTTCGCTCTTTGTTATACATTCTACCCCCATATATAAAATGCACTGCAGTAGCGAACATGGAAATCTTTTTAGTAATTTCTAAAGTAGGGGCCATATCATTTTAATAGATAAATCAAAGTTTCATTTGTTCAAACATAGTGATATGTAGAATTGCATTCATATGCAGTACAACATTTTCTTTTCCATGTTTTATGACCATGGCAAGGAAAACATTGATTTCAAAGACAATGATCTCCTTAGAGCTTATGTAGTTTCTCGATTTTTCTTGACAAAATATCGCCAATTCTGCCAGTATACTGAAGATTTAACTTATTAATTTGGCATAGATGGAGAAAGTATGGAAATTACAGACTTAGTTTTATGGAGCGCCATTGCCCACCAATGTCTGAAAGGAAAGAATGTTTGGTGCCTCCTCCAGATGGGTAGTTTTATGGAGCGCCATTGCCCACCAATGTCTGAAAGGAAAGAATGTTTGGTGCCTCCTCCAGATGGGTACAAGCCACCTATCAGATGGCCTAAGAGTAGAGATCAGTGTTGGTACAGGTACTTATTTTCCTTTTTTTCTCTTATTTTTTTCTCTTAATTACTCGTATGTTACTCTTTTTCAACTTGCTGATTGATATCCTTGACCACTTGATGTTGAGCTGAGAAATACAAGGAAGATGATGTTCAGGACAGCGACCTTCTTCCAATCATCCTTGATGTACAAATAGTTGAGATATGATCTCTAAGTGTAAAGCTTCGTGTGGGACATCGATACTTTCACCTTGCCTGAGGTGGCGGGATCGGCTATGAACCATCATTACGCATTTGAATAACTGAAGACTAAACTATCACGTTAATCCCAGTAAACTCCCTCGTCAGCAGGCAAATCTGCTCAGAATAAATGTATATGTCATGTTGAAGGTACCCTGATCATTGTATCTGTACTTGCTAGTGGCTAGGAACAATCTTAAGTATTAACAAAAACAAATAGGAGCAGACAAGGATCTTGGTTTGATTTGTGGGATCGTCACATGAGAACAAATAGGCAGAAGTGTAGGAATCTTTCTTCATTGTGATAGAGAGTTATAGAGAGTTATGTTGGTTTACTTCTAAGTTATAACTATATTGGAGCTCACGTCTTCGTTTATGTTTTACTTTTTACAGTGTTAGATATAATTTGTAGCAAATTCTAAGTTATAACTATATTGGACCTTTATATTCTACTTATTTGAAATTTTTTGAATTAATTTCAGGGGATGAAGGATGCGAGATTGATGTTTTGATGGGCTCACTAAAGTCAAAAATTAATTTCAGGGGATGAAGGATGCGAGATTGATGTTTTGATGGGCTCACTAAAGTCAAAAACCAAGGACGTTGGCATATTTTTCTCTCTCTATTTGGTTAAGATTCTCTATATATGAAATTGATTGTAATAGATTCTGTTGGTTAAGGTTTTTTTATATGAAATTGATTGTAGTAGACTTTATGACTAGAAACGGATTATATACTTTATATTAGGAATATCATGACATTTACTTTAGATTTGTTTTGGTTCTTTCATTGACCTTTCTTTTTGCAAATATTATGTGTGAGAAATGTTGTTCTTTAATTAATGAATTTTCTTCCAACTTTAGATTTGTTTTTGGTTTTTTCATTGATCTTTCTTTCTGCAAATATTATGTGTGAGAAATGTTGTTCTGCAAATATTATGTGTGAGAAATGTTGTTCTGCAAATATTATGTGTGAGAAACGGATTAATACATGTTTATTAACCTGTTACTTCCTAAGATATGAATGATACTAATTTTGAATAATTATGCCTGAATTGCATCATTGTCTAGAGCTTATTCGGAATCATCTTTCTTCACCTAAGGTTATGAATAACTTGCAAGTCCAAGACCATATAAGATTATATGCAAATTTAGAGTCATCGTAAATTTGACTAAATTTTCTTAGTTAAGATTGTGCAAACATGTTTGGTAACTTGTAAATTTTTTGAAAATATGATAGAATCATAATTTAATTTAATTACTTTTTGTAAATTATTTAAAATCTGAATCAAATTCTAAAAAATATGAATTAAAATTATATTGTGATACTTTTCTTCCTCTTTTCTTATAAAGGTAACCAAACAAGAGAAAATGACTTTCTTATGAATTTTCTTTTAACTTTCCTTACAATATTCTTTCTAACCAAACAATAAAAGGATTATCATTTTCTTTTCTTTTTCTTTTCCTTTCTTTTTACTTTCTCTTTCTTTTTCTTTTCTCTCCCTTCCTCTCAAACCAAACGTAGCCGAAATGATCTGGCACACAAAAGAAATCCTTTTACATCAAGCAATATCCAGTTTACACCATTACATTTACAGATAACCAATTTCATTTATAACATAGTAATTTTCGCATATTTTCCTAACATTAAACAGACGACTTCAGGTCGGTCTCCAACTCTCCGCTTAGAAATTGCTCGTACCATTTAGCCGATAATTTTGGAGTTCTTACCTGTGTTTTGGAGTCTACATGATAGAGCCCAAATCCTACAGAGTAACCAAGCGTCCATTCAAAGTTATCCATGAGAGACCCCCACCCCCCCAAAAAAAAAGAAAAAGAAAAAAAAAGAAATTCAATAGACTAATTTTCAGATAACCCCCTTAAACTTTTAAAAATGTCACTCAGCCCCCGTTAAGTTTGAGGTGTCTCAGAAAAAACCCCCAAACGTTTTCAACTTTTTAAACTGACCCTATAACGATGTTAGGTAAAATGGTAAGATAACCAAAATACCCATTTTTAAGTTAACACTGTAATTATTAATTTAATTAATCCCGGTATTTTGGTTAAACGTGACCAAGGGTTTGTGACAATTATCTTTAAAATTATTAAAAATGACAGTCCAGGTGGTAGTTAGGGGGGTTAGCCGACAAAAACATAAAGTTTAGGGGTTTTCTCTGAAGAACAGCCTTTTTTGTAAAATTACCAATAATCTTATGTGCAAACTGCAAGCCTACAAATGTTACCTTATGGCAGTAGCCACAAAAGAGAGGTAGTTCTTAAGGAACTCTGCTTTTTTGGGCATGTTTGGTTCAATAGAGGTTAGGAATAGGATTAGGAATCCTATTTTATTTATGGATTCCAACCTAATCCATAAAAAATTTATAGACAAGTTTTAATTTTATGGAATCCTATTTTTGTTGCATTCTATGTTTGTTTCACACAAAGAAAAAAGGAATCTCACTTTTATAGAAACCCTCCAATTCCTAATACCATGTTTGGTTCAGAATGAATTTTTTTTAGGGATCATCACTGTAGCAATGGCTAGCTCACTGATCAACACAAAATCACTGTAGCAACGACTAGTTCCCCCAACTTCAGAATTCAAAGGAAAAACACTATATTATAATGATGAATTGCCTCGCCTAGCAAGGAGCTACACAAGCTCCAAACAACACAGCAACAAACACAAGAGCAAGGACCTACACCAGCTCCAAAATGCCAGCTCAAAAATCCAAACTCAAGGAGCTACACAAGCTCAAAACAAAACAGCATATAACCCAAATCCAAGGAGCTACACAAGCTCCAAATAACAACCACAAATCCAAAGGCTAGGAGCTACACAAGCTCCAAACAAAACAAAAACAAACCCAGGAGCAAGGAGCTACACTAGCTCCAAAATGTCAGCCACAAATCAAAGTCAATGAGTTACACATGCTCAAAACAAAACAACAACCAACCTGAAGAGCTTGAGGAGCTACACATGCTCCAAATAACAGTCACAAACCCAAAGGCAAGGAGCTATACAAGCTCCAAACAAAATAGCAACAAACCCAAGAGCAAGGAGCTACACCATCTCCAAAATGTCAGCTCAAAAATCCAACGTCAATGAGCTACAGGTGATCAAAACAAAACTGCAACAAACCCGAAGAGATTGAGGAGCTACACAAGCTCCAAATGACAGTCACAAACCCAAACTCAAGGATCTACACAAGCTCCAAACCAAACAGCAACAAACCAATGCGAATGAGGAGCTACACAAGCTCCAAATAACAGCCACAAGCACAAGAGCAAGGAGCTACACAAGCTCCAAACCAAACAGCAACAAACCAATGCGAATGACGAGCTACACAAGCTCCAAATAACATCCACAAAGCACAAGAGCAAGGAGCTACACAAGCTCCAAACCAAACAGAAACAAACCAATGCGAATGAGGAGCTACACAAGCTCCAAATAACAACCACAAGCACAAGAGCAATGAGCTACACAAGCTCCAAACTAATGCCTAATATATATTGTAAGCATAGCCATATTAATATTAAAGAAATATGAAACAATATATGATATGCATGCATTTGCCAAGGAATATATGAAATGACGATATTTCTCAAACAACATTAAAAAAAAGCAAGCATTAAAAAAAACAAATTCCACCCTTGGTCTTGTTCGAATTGAAGAATTGGAGAGAATGATGGAGTTGGGGTTCTAACAGTCTCCCTTTCAACTGTTAATTTTCCTTCTTTGGTGGTAAGCCTGAAGAGCTCATCTTCAGCAGAATCAACACAAACTCCATTGATGTTGCAGATCTCTCCCTTGGGAGAGAGAGGAAGGAGAGTATGGATCACAGGGTCAGACTTGACGAGGGATACAAATTTAGTGTAGAGAAGCTCGACCTTGTCGACCTCCTCACTGGCAAAAAGGGAGAATACATCATCGGCAATAGCCTGCAACAATTCAGCTAGGTTCAAAAATCAAAATATTGACATGAATTTCACAAATCTACAGCATCTATGATTTTACAATCTAGAGTGTGTATAGTCACAAGTTCTAACATGGAACCTCATAGATGTCAAACAAACTTTTTTACTACACATTGTCGTGTCTGAGATCTAAATTGAAGCACACAGAAAAACTCATCAATTTCAACATGGATGAGTGTAATCAAACAACAAGACATGAACAATTTACAACACTGCTAGACAATAAAAATAGGACAAAACGCGACACAGGTTGAAGAATTATTCTTCTAAAGGCGGGAGAGATCTTCATATATTTAATCCAGTACGCTAACAATCAATGACCTTTCTTTCTGTATGTGATAAATTGCATAAGTTATCGACCTCATCCTTTCATAAAAAACGGCATTTCTAAACAATTGCCAAGTTCACAACTACTGATCACAAAATATAATTAAAATCACATCTTGATCGTTGATCTATGAAACATTAGCAAGGTTGAGCTCTAAATTATCAATTATAAGCACAGAAGTATAAAAAATAAAGGATTGTAAAGCAAAGTTTACGTTTCTTCGACAATCAATTTATGAGAATTTGCAAGGTTAATAATTAAGTAGCGTTCAACGATGATTCACTAAAGACCACATCTCAATAATCTAGGACTACTAACAAGATTAATCTCCAAAATCATGAATTACATCCATTGAAGTATCATAAACAAATGCTAACCTGCGCCTCTTTCGTCGTGGGCAGTTCCCCGCCCTCGAGAAACCGATCAACGAGGATATACGGCCGCCGCAGAAAGTAAGAATTGCCCTTCTTCCCAACACTAATAACAGTGTAGTCCAGCCCCAATGTCTTCAACTCGGCGATCCTCGACTCGGCCTTCTTGATGATCGCGTTATTGAAACCCCCACAGAGCCCTCGATCTCTAGTGACGACAACGAGCGCGATCTTCTTCACGGGCCTCACCTTCGGAGGGGAACGTCGATGTCATCGGTCTGCATCTGCTCGTTGCTGTTGTAGAGGGCCTCGACCAGGGTTTCGGAGAAGGGGCGGTCGCTGACGACGGCCTCCTGGGCTCGGAGGACCTTGGCGGCGGCGATGAGCTTCATGGCCTTGGTGATCTTCTGGGGAGCGTACCAGATATAGGGTTTCGAGTACCAGCCTCGACCACGCAAAGAAACCCAAAAGGGCGGCCGGAGAAGAGAAGCGAAGAAGAGGCGCGAAGAATAGAGAGTTGAGGCGGGAGAAGAACAGCGGGGAAACCACGACAGATCTGGCCCAATTCCTCTCAAAAACCAGATCCGGCGAAGAAGATTAGGAATCGGAATAAGAAAGAGGAGTGTTGTCAGCTTTTTGGCCCAATTCCTCTCAAACGGAGAGGATTTGGGATTCCATAAATATCCACTGTTTTGAGCACTTTACGGATTAGCAATTCTGTAAATTTTTTTGAACCAAACTTTAGAATAGGATTCATTTAGAATCCTTTAATTACGAAAATGCCAATGTCAGACCCAAATATCATTCCTATTCTATAAAATGTGTGAAACAAACAGACCCTTAGTGTCATTGATTTAAGTCATTTAGGCCCCGTTTGGCAAATGGTTAATGAAGTGAGGTTAAAGAGAATGATTAATGTACTTAGCTCATTTGATAATCCGAAGGACTAAATTATTAACCCGTTAAATAAGTTTTATTTTAGCCCTTATGATCAGTTTTAGTGTTTGGGAATAACAATGATTTTGACTATTTTCTTTATAATTAGAAGGGTTAACTCTTATTCCATCTAAATATGAGTATTAGTAAACCCCTCAGTTTGAGGGGTTAAACTCATTTTAACCCCTCTAGAGGGGTTAACTTAACCCTTCTATATTTTTTTATGTTTGACAAATTATGGAGGGTTAACTCACTTTAACCATTATATAGATTTGTTGTGTTTGGCAGGTTAAGAATGGGTTAAGTCTCCTTAACCCCTCACTTAATCCTTTGTCAAACGGTCCCTTAAGGATTCTCTATTATTCCATGGCTGACCGTAACCTGGAAATAGACATATACATAGCGAAATCAATATTCTAACCAAACATATAAAAAACTCTTATTTCTTTTTCTTTCTTTTACTTTTCCATTTCATTTTCTTTTCTTTCACTTCACCTCAAACCAAACACAGCCTCCAAAGTCCAACCGCACCTTGCAGCCGCCGCCACCCGGCAGCCCACTTCGTCCAACCGCACCTTGCAGCCGCACCAAGCAGTCTTAACGGTTCATCCCCAAACCCTCGCTGAGAACGTTGCCATCTCCTTGCGATTCTCCTTCCAATTTCTGGTGTGAACCCTAATCTCTCTATTATTTCTTTAATTTTTCGTCTATTCTCGATCTATTTGAACTTCAGAGCTGAAATTTCGGTGAAAGAGGAAAATAACTTTGAGGTAATTTAGGATTTGTGTTGCTTAGTTTAAACAGATCTGGGATATTTCGTTGTATTTGTTGTAGATCTGATAGAATATTGTTAGATTTAAGGTTTTAAGTGATGATTTTTTTGTGTGCAAATTTGTTGATTTTTTTAGTCGAAATATCTTCTTGGCCTGATTTAGATCTGCTGAAGGTGTATTGATGTAGTAATTTGATTATGGAGGTCCTTGATGCAGTTTCTTCTTGAGTTAAAAGATAATAGAAGGATGGACAATATATTATATATATTTATTTAGGTTAGCTAGGTATTTATTTTGTGCTGATGATCTAGGTATTCATCAAGGATGAACGGCGTATGATAGAGAGCTGACAATTTTATGTGTTTACTAAAGTTGATTCTTAAGGTTGATCTATTTGTTTGAATTTATGATTTAGATCTTTTTAGATAGAAATGAATTATCTTGAGGTTGATTTTGGATGATGTTAATTGACTGTACTTATACTATATCAAAAGGTTTTAGATAGAGTTTTCATATTTGTTTCATTTCCACTATATCTAACTATTTGTTGTGTATTATGTTGATTCTTAAGGTTGATCTAGCTGTTTGAATTTATGATTTAGATCTAGTTGTGGAGTATTGGAATTCTTGTGGGTATTTAATTAAATGAATGATCTTTAGTTTGATTTTAGAGAATCTTTAACGACTCTATTTTACAGCATTTACACTTACATGCATTAAGTTGTAACAACTGTTTCCATATGATATTTTTTGAATTATGTGAAATGATTCGTGTATAAATGATTTTCATACTATTCTTACAGTAGCCATTATTCTTTTACTATGTGATAGGCAAGTGGGGTCACACTGAAGCTCGGAGTAGTATTGTTGTCCTCCACTCTTTTTCATTCTCTGCTACTATCTTCTTAATTTATTTGTATGTTTTCTTTCTCCTTCGTCTTCGTATTCATTAAAATATTTTAATTTGTTTGTTTATTCATTTACTTGTAAATTACAAATCTCTCCATCAAGTTCCTCCTCAATCTTGATTATTTGCTGAAAGTTCTCATAATTATTAGCTATGGCGGCCTACGTTCCCGCTTTTTCTTTAACTTTGCATCCAATGAAATCGGCGGCGGCGCATAATAGCAAGCTACACAGCTACAGAAGCAGCGACAACAGGATGATGATGACGATGACGAGGTTGACGGCGATGCCTCCATCGTCGTCGTCGTCTTTGTCAGCAGCAGCAGCAGCAAGAGATAATGTCAGCATGATTTCCAATCTCTCATTCGCTCAATCCTCATTCAAAGAGGTACTTCTCTTTTATTTGATCTAATTTTGGTTTTAGTTCGGTTAATTATAGTTTGGTACCCTAAAATTTGCAACTTTAATACCCCCAATGTTTTTAATTAATTAACGCTTTGATGCTCAAAGTTCGCTCTAAACTTGTTTTCTGCATATGTGATATCTTAAAGTCTATACATTTTTAACTTCAGTGCCCCAAAGTTTACGTATTTTTCAACTATATGGGGTGTCAAAGCGTCAAAGACAGAAGTTTGGGTTATCAAGGCTAGAAGGGGTGTAAAGTTTAAGTATCAAGATGTCGAGAAAAAATTTGGAGTATTAACGTTATAATAGGTGCAAACTTTTGGGTATGAAATGGTGGGAAAAATCTTCGTGGTGTCAAAGTGGTGGAGAAAAAACTTATGGGTATTTAAAGTTAAAATGGTGTAAATTTTGAGTATCAAAGTGCAAATAATCCTGATTCTTATGATTATTATTATACTATTATTGCTATATTGTCACTATTATGACTTGCCTAATTTGTGTGTGGATTGGAATTATGGAATCCCCTGACTTAATTGTATGAGATTAAATTGAATTTAATTTGTATTGTTATTTGTGTATAGTTGATTGAGACGCTTATACATGGAGTGGACCTCTCGGAGGAAGAGGCCGAGGCATCCCTTGACCTCCTTCTGAATGAGGCCAACGAGGCCCTCATCAGTGCCTTTCTTGTTCTCTTGAGAGCCAAAGGTGAAACCTTTGAGGAGGTATTACTTCTATTATTATATGTTATTGTTATAAATTTAGAAAGTTTTGATTGAAAAATGGACTACAGATAGTGGGACTGGCAAGGGCCATGATCAAATGTTGCAGGAAAGTTGAAGGTCTGTCGGATTTGGTGGACATTGTGGGAACAGGAGGTGATGGAGCTAACACCGTTAACATTTCCACTGCTGCAGCAATCCTCACTGCTGCAGCTGGGGCAAAAGTTGCAAAGGTTTAGAAACGTTAACATTTCCACTGCTGCAGCAATCCTCACTGCTGCAGCTGGGGCAAAAGTTGCAAAGGTTTAGAAAACATATCTTAATCATTTCAATAGCAATCCTCACTGCTGCAGCTGGGGCAAAAGTTGCAAAGGTTTAGAAAACATATCTTAATCATTTCAATTTTTATTTCTTGAATGAATGAAGAAAATTATCAGATAAGATGACTCTTGCAGCAAGGAAACCGTTCGAGTTCTTCTGCATGTGGCAGTGCTGATGTGCTCGAAACTTTGGGTGTCAGCATTGATTTGGGCCCTGAGGTAGTACCATACTAGATGCATCATTTACATATGCACAAGCATTTTTCATGAATTTAAATGTTTACTTTATTACTGTTACATGATTGACGAGTTATTTATCTCATGCGTCAGGAACTCCTATATGTAATACTAGCAAAAAAAACCCCGCGTAACGCGGGGAGAATGAAGAATGCATACTCTTATCTTTAAATTTGGGATATTCATTTCAATAATCATAAATGTTGAAAAAGTAAGTTTAACGACACAAAAATACAACAGTTTTGATAACAGATGTAATACACATTGTTTGTGTCAAGAGTTAAAGTTGGAAAGCACAAGGATTGGATTCAATAATATTTGCATGAACAAAAGAAGTCAATGCTGAAAGAAAGCAAGAAACAATCTTTATATGATTTCGGTCGGAGTCAAATTGTAGCGCGCTGAGAAAATTTTAAAATGTGATCATAGCTTTTGCATGTTAACATTAGAACCGAATCCAATTTTCAAAAAGTCTATAAAATATCTTATACCTTCTCTATAATAGTAAATAATTCCCTGATGGTTCTTGGTCTTGTTGCTGCTCAAGAGAAGGAACTTGTGCTCAATGACTTGCTCTCTTCCCCTTTTATGGCCTGCATTCTCTCTCAAATGGATTTCAATCCCATACCCTCCTTTCCTATCCCTCACCTACTCTGACACCTTTCCTTACAAATCAATCATTGTTCCCATTTCATCTTCCCCTATCGAGGGAAGGGGCATATGCATGGTTGATGGATTGGATTTAGATGAGAGTAGAGGAATGGTATTGACCTAGGAAGGAAAAAGAAAAGAGTTTTTTTGATTTTCTGAGGGTAAAACACGAAATATAAAATAACAATAAAATTGTCATACCTCTTCTCAGATCTCCAAGTTGCCGAACCCATTTGGTCTCAAGCATCCACCAACTCTCTTGTCTTGTTATCATCATTGATACGATCAAATCGAAGAAAATCCAACTCCTCTACAACATCTTTGCAACCCTAACACACAAAATAATTGGTAACATATTTTTCAAGATCATGATTTCATTTCAATTATCATAAATATTGAAAACAGTTTTAACATCATTCAAAAAGATAATAACAGGCAACAATTTTGATACAATGTGTTCATATGCATTGTTTGTAACAAAATTTCAATTATAAAACATAAGAATTTAGACTTTTATAAATAAACATATATACAAATAATAAGGTACATATGTACAAAGCCAATTATAGATGCATCGTTGTCCTCCACCCAAACAATGTTGAGCCAAAATGTGATCCTATGGTCGGAGATGAATATGTTTCTTCATCCTTGCTATCTAACTCATAATATATTGGTTATACATCAATGCTGGAATTTATCCATGACTACTTTTCCTCAAAGAACTCTAAGTACATGTTTCATATGAGAAAAAGAAAACAAATGTATTAGACTAAAATGACCGGAAAACTTGAATTTGTTGTTTATACATTTACTACTTTGAACCTAGGTCATTTGAGGTCTACGTTTTATTTCTCTTGAGATGAAGAGATACACAACCATGAAACTGATTAGTTATCTTCAAGATTGGTATCAAAAAACTCTTTTTAAGTCTTTCTCTAGCGTTGGTTTGGTCTAAGCAACAAAGACACACGCTGACATATGCATACATACATACATATGTGCGTGTAGAATATGCTGATAAAGCTAAGTTTTGTTGGAAATTTTAGGAACTTATGGAAGCTAAGAGTCACATGTTAATTATGTATCCTTCTCTCATTCTTTCATTTGGATATATATATCATTCTTTTATGATATTTATGTCATAATTTACTTATACATTTATTACCTGCATAACCAAATTTTCTTGGCCTTCAGGGTTTTCTTCATAGATGAGGAATAGTTCAAGTAAAATAATTTCGTAGGCATATACGTCTTTCTCTTATTGCTAACTTTCCCATACATATAGTATTCAAGCTTATGGTGCATGTAAACAAGCTTAAAAGATAATCTTAAGACCAACAAATATCATACGGACATGTACTCAAGTATGAAATCTCACCTTCAATACAAATGAGAGATTAAATGATTCTCTAAGACTGCCAACCTATTTGTTCATAATATCACATAATAAGACATCATTCTGTTATTCTTTATCATAAATTGAGGGCATTGAGTCATACATACCTATGTAATCAGTGAATGAATCTTCCATTTGACATGTAATAAACAAAAAAATGAAAATTAATTAATTTTTATAAAGACAAGAATTGGCACTCTTAGATGTTCACAAGGAACAAAAAGAATGACACAGTTAATGTAATCAACCAAATAAAACCGACCAAAAAGCAAAAACCCTCAAAAGAGATCCTATTCACAGTTTTAACATATCAATGCCTATACAATCAAATTAAGCAAAAGAATGAAATATTTCATATCAGCCTATACAATCAAATTAAGCAAAAGAATGAAATATTTCATATCAAACCGCAAAAGAATGAATTCAGAAATAAAATCATGTAGATTTCCTCAAATACAAATGACCAAGAAATTTCAAGCAGTAGTAAAGCAAGTCTAGAACCCTCGAAGCTGAGAGAAAACCTACTTGAATTGTACCTACTTTTGAGGAAATTCTGAATATGATACTTACCAGTTATTATTTCCGGATTGTATTCAATTTAAATATGACATGGATTGAGGATCCACTGGTCTTGACCTGGAAACATCCAGAAAAATATGAAAATATTAGGCCAACTATAGGTCATCATTTTATGTATATAATCTATGATACAACCTTAATACTTTCTATAGAAACAAATGCGTAACTCCACTATTTCAAATAATCATCCAACGTGAGAGTTTACCATCAGATAGGTTAGTTGCCAGACTAATTGGTGTTAGCTAGGACATGCCACAATTGAAGTTAAATTGAAATAATAAGAGAAATCTATGCTCATTTTCTAAAATAAAAACAATGAAAAAATAAAAATTTATCTGGAAAAGAAGACTTATAGTTAGCAATTATACATGGCGAAAATATAGGTAAATTTGATACCTTGAGCCGAGTCCATCTAGGATAACATTAATACTCAAGGAAGAGTGGGGGCTTGTCTACCTTCTATTGCAAGTTCCTTCACCACAATTAACAATTTTGCTTGTGATAGCTTCATTGACGACAAAAACCAATCAATACATTTGAAGTTGAAAGAAGACAAAAGCTTAAGATAAGTATTGAGCTACTACCTCCATTAGGCTAAATACCCATATTGGTATTTTAATTTAACCCCATTTACCAACAAGTTATTTTAATTAGGAAATTCGACGATAAGACATTTTAATTGAATAAATTACCATTTAGGTCCTTTTTCTCGTCGACGGTTACTTTTCCGACGAGAACTCATCACGTGCGTTGCACGTGGGGGCTTAATCTGTGTTTAAGATGCTGATGTGGCTCTGTTTTCTGACGTGGCAGGGAATTAACTCTCTACTGTTCATCATCCCCCCGCCTCTCTCTCTCGTTTTCTCTCTTCCCCGAACCCACGTTTTCCACCGCCGCTCTCTCCCTCGACCACCGCTCCGGCCTCGCGTCGCACTTAGCGCGAGATCACCCCCGCGGAACTAAAGCCATAATCCGTCTGTAGCTCGTCCCTCCAACAAAGAATTCAAACCCCGAAAGTTTCACAACAGCGAAGAACCCAATAAACCCAAAGACTTCATCCATTTCTGTGGGTGATCTTCTCACAGCGCGCAGAAACTCATCACAATCAAGAATCGCAAGAAACAAAAAAAAAACTCCATTACCTCTCTCTCTCGTCGTTCCTCTTGAGCTCCCCAACACAAACTCCTCCGTTCATCCTCCACGATGGAAGAAAACAAGAAACGGAAACAAGCCATGATCACGACCCAAGACTCGGAGACCGAGCAGCGAAAACAAGACTCATCAGAGGACAAGAAACAGAAGCAAGCTGTCATCCAAGCCGTCATCAGAGGAGTGCTTGGCAGCAGCAGATCTGGCGGCTCGGTTCGGAGTTCGTCGGGCGTGCAGCGGCCGTCGACGGCTGCAGGCGTTGGGCGGCGCGGTCAGGGGTCTCGCGGTCGGGCAGTGCTGCAGGAGGTCACGACGAGGACTGGTCGTCGCAGGGGTTCGACGGCAGCGGTTGCTGGAGGCGGGCCGCGTGGTCAGGGAGGTGCTGGCGGCGGTCGGGGCAGTGTTGAGGGCGACGGAGGCCGGAGCGGTGGTCGAGGGGAGGAGCGGCGGTGGACGTGGGTTCGGGAAGGAGAAAAAGAGAGAGAGAGGCGGGGGATGATGAACAGTAGAGGGTTAATTCCCTGCCACGTCAGAAAACAGAGCCACATCAGCATCTTAAACACAGATTAAGCCCCCACGTGCAACGCACGTGATGAGTTCTCGCCAGAAAAGTGGCCGCCGACGAGAAAAAGGACCTAAATGGTAATTTTATTCAATTAAAATGTCTTATCGCCGAATTTCCTAATTAAAATACCTTGTTGGTAAATTGGGTTGAATTAAAATACCAATATGGGTATTTAGCCACCTCCATTAACATTAATTTCATAATTGCACTTCTAGAAGATAAAGAGCGGGAAAAGGTAAATGATAAAGCCAAGTTTTGAGCTTGACCATGATTTTAGCCTATGGAGAGTGGACGCGAAAAAACATGGGGGATTTAAGCTGCTTTAGTTTAACAAGAGGAGCTTCAAAATTAGTGGGTTTACAAAAACAATTTAGAGTAAAGAGCGAAAATGTAAAACATTTTCACTTCATTGCAGAAGCAGTAATCATTGGTTTGCAAAAAAAAATGAAGTTATACCAGTGCAATTTCAAATAAATTAATAACATAAAATATGAAACTAAATACCAAAGAATTAGGAAGAAACTAAAATAAGTTATAGTTATAAGTCTATACACACCATCCTGTGAATGACTTTCGAAAACAATCGCACATGGGCTGTCTTTATATGGATCCTTATGTTAGTAGAGGGAACCCTTTGCATGTTTCTTCAATGTATCCAAGGATAGAAAGAGATCCTATCATTGGCTTCCTTTCGTGCATTAGACATGGCTTCCTAATATATAAGATTATATTCAAGAAACATTAGTTGCACTCTTTGTTTGAAATATCTTTTTCAGCATGGTAATACAGAACTCCTTTTAGCTTGCAGTATCTTCTAAACTACATTCTAATTTAAATTATTCTCACATCATTATAGTTTTTACCTTTTGCAGAAGGTATAGCCCAAACCTGTGTACATGTTGTGGAAAGGAAATACAAATACCGTAGATGTAGTCTCCATTTTGAACAGCCTACTAATTTTTGCTGACTTTTGCATGAAAATATCCATAAGTAGCTAGAACTTGAATTTTTATTTAACCATTGAAATTAGATAGTCAGAACCTACATTATCATCTAATCTGTGAATATCCCTTTGTGGGATAATGCTATCACCACATCAATTTAAACAATTTGCTTTCACTGAAGATTCTTGCATATATTTTTGCATAGTCACTCATCACGTGCATACTATATAAAGCAAATTCACATACCACCACTTTTATGGATGTGGTCTCACAACTTTTGTCGATTTTAACGAACTTCACCAAATGGAGATATGATCAAAATAGCCTTCATACTTCATTATAGTTTGAATTGTTCTTTGACTACTTAAGGTAAAACTCTAAGATGATTAGTCCACTTATTTTTAGTATTCCTAAATTATCTCCACTTAATTCAAAATCTTGCATGAAGGGGTCATAAATGGAAGCCTTTTTTACACATCAATTAATTTCCTTTAGCCCAATGCACATAATCTTAATTTCCTTTGATACATCAATAAATATATTCATATCAAAGTTCGTGTCCTTTTCTATGTAGAAAGTAATTAAACAATTTACTAACTTGAGCATGATAACATCAAAGGATCAAGTCTTTAATCATGCTCACTAAATAGCTTAATAAAAAAAAACATTAGTGTCAGAACATGAAAGGAAAGTCGTGATTCGTACATATGAAAAATGAATTTGATTCTTGTGTTATAGGTTCTATAAGTTACAAACAGAGATTATATTGAAACTTTATTTAAGTTTACACTCTAAAAGTAAAGCCTAACGTATTTTTCAATACTCTTTAATGTCTCCCAGCTTATAAAAGAAAAGCCTAGAGTTCACTCATCTGTTCTGAAAAATGTATTATTGTTTCAGCAAAAGAAACTAACTCATTGTAAATCTTCTGTTACATTGACTTATTAATCAATAGTTCATACTAAAATCTAAGGGACTTAGATATTTAGAAAAAAATTCAAGTTTACAATTAAAGGAAAAATCATGACTGAAAAACATAGCAATTCAATTTTTATTATATTAAATCCATTTCCCACTTTTTTCAAGTCAATTCCTGTTCAATTTGCTAAAACCAGTAATGAGTTTTGCTAACATTTCATACGAGACCAAATTACTCACTAAATATTTGTAAATGAACCAAATTAGATGATAAATATAATGTCAAATGATTTTCATCTTCACCATCCATTTACTGAACCTTTTACAAGAATTAAAGCTTATACCAAGTGACTTTAACCCACAACTAATCAAATCATCATGCACAACAAGTTCAACAACCGATGAAAGATACAGGTTTTAACCCGCAAAAGCATCAGTTAAATTTTAATTATTATCCCCAAATGAATTTAAAAAAATCAAATAAACAAAATTGAGAAACCTCACTTGTCAATTCTTGTTGTCGATAATGTTTCACTTCAGAGGGAGGGAGATAAAACCACGACCGCATGTTTTAATCAAGGACCCTACAATCCAATCAACCAAACTGAAAGAAGTTATTCATATTAAAATAGAAATAGAGGAAGAATTTTACGGTGAGATCGTGAATGTTTTCCCAAACTACAACAAAGGAGCAAGAAATTTTGGCAAATATTAAAGCGTAGATTTTGGTCGGCTTCACAAAACGTACGGGGTCGCAGTGGGCCTTGTGGAGGCTGAGTTTGGGGTGGGAGGTGAACTTGCGGTTGCAGTGGAAGCGGTTCTTGTAGTCGTTCTTGAGGACCTGGTCGGCGAGGGATTGGCGGCGGTCGAGGGGCCAGAAAGACATGTCGTGGGTGAAGGAGTCGACCTTGTCGTCGCGGGAGTCGGAGAGAATCCATACGGAGAGGAGTGGTGGGGGGGAGAAGAGGTCAAGGAGCGGGGTCCATAGCGAGGGAGGCTAGGGTTTGGGGGATGAAGGTGAGGGAGAGAGAGGGAAAGGGAGAGGAAGTGGTCGACGAGGTCGTGGCGGAGGTCGGAGGCGACGGAGTCGAGCAAAAACGTGCCTGCGATAAGAACATAGCGACCTCCAATCTTTTCTTCTCAAAGCTACTCTCTGAAACATTTAGATCTTTATCAATTTGCAGCAATATTTTCTATTTGTTAACATCTAAATCAAATAAAAAAAATTCTAAATCAAGTACTGACACATTCCTACCACTACCATACACTCACTTTTGATGTCTCCCAATCTCATCATAGGGGGTTGACAAGGTATGGGCATGGTGTCAACGGTCGTGTCTTGATAGGCTGAAGAAGTTGCCGGGTTGCAAGGAGGAAAAACAAACGTGAAGAAGGAGAAGAAAAGAAAGTTAACCATTTTCAAGAATACCCTCAAACCCAGTGAAAGAAGAAAAAGAGCAAAAGGGCAAAGCAAGGAAAAAATAATATGAACAGGGAATGATGAAATTTGGCCCTTTACAAAAATACCCTAAACACTAACTTATAGCATTACACGGCAGAAACTAAAATTAAAATTCATATCAAAGGGTAGAAATGGAAAAGAGAAAATATACCCATCAATCTTTTAGACAATAGGTTTTATGGAGTATGGTAAAGATTCTAAAGACTGGGAAAAGAAATTAAAACAGAAAAACCTTTGATGAGGGGAGGTAGAAAGAAATGTATAGATTCAAAACCCAAAATACGGGCTATGCTCACATTAATTGTTGAACCTTAGGTTAGAATTTCGTTTCATTCCATCTGGCCAATATACTTGGATATCTAATGATAAATCACACATCTCAAGATCATTTTATTAAATTTGATTGCAGATATGCTGTTTTCTCTAGATTTTAGTTTCACATTGTATAAGTTCAAGTGCTACTTTAACTTTGAAATGGTTACACACCCAATTAGTCAAGTAAATGACAAAGTCAAAAAGTTTGTTTTAAAATGAGCAGCAGATCGATTGCTTTTTAACCATACTTCAATATTTGTTGTTCTATGAACTTCAAGTCTTTGTCCTGCGAATAGGATTCCCCTAAAATTCAGCTTGTTTGATGCACCCAAACATCACACGTACCCATTTGTGCTTACATATAGGGTAACTGTTAAAACATATAAATATGTGGATGTAAGGTCTTGTGACAAAAGTAAACTGCTTTGTATTTCACTTCACTAAAATGCGGTTCTTTTCTAAATGAATATTAGCTTGATACATATATTTATGGGCAAAATGGCCAGATTGGTATAACTTCTTGAGGCTTGGTGACAAGTTGGTATATTTTTTTTAAGTTTTGTCAGATTGGTATAAATTTTCAACTCCGGCGCCATATTAGCCTTAAGTTTGGCCGGAGTTACTGTTCCGGCCAGTGTTGATGAGATTTTTTGCATAAAACTCCCTTGTAAAAAACTTATCCTGCTCCTAACCCCCTCCCCCTCCTCCGCATCCTCTTCCTCCTCCTCATCCTCTTCCTCTCTCCTCTTCCTCGCTCTCTTCTTCATCTCAACCCAATCCCAGCCCTTATCGGAGTTAAGGGCTCAAATTCGGAGGATGACCGGGCAATCAGAGTCGTACGATCGATCCTTGATCTGTTCGAGAGAGGCGTAAGCCCTGACCCAGCTGATCTTCGTCGGCTCCTCTCATACCTGGGCGTAACGGATGGGGCGACTGCAATGAGGCGATCACATTCATAGAATAAGAGGAGCTACATCAGGCACGCTCTCATACACCAACCCATCACCATCAACAATTCTAATAATAATCCCATCTTCACCATTATTAACGTTTCTACTCTTGCACTCAAAATACAACACCACGCTGACTGCAATCTCAAACACCCCCACCACCGCATACACCGCTTTCTGAACTAAAGCCGGGACATACCGCTCCCCTCCAACTTCAAACGCACCAAGCAACCCCGCGACGTCTGAGATCTCAGAGAGCATGTTGATGGTCAAAACCTCAACCAAAACAAGCATAGCCACTTCCCATTTCCTCCCAGCTACTACCTCCATCGCCTTGTATATAGCCTCCAACCCGAAACACCCATCCTCAGGCGCCATTGAAATCATCAAGCTCACTGCGAAAATCATATCGAAGCACTTAAGATAGCCGCCCTCTAAGAGAGCGAGAACTGCGTCGGGGACCTCCGGAATTATTGGATCAGGGCCCGCCATGAGCATCAAAGTACTGGGTACGGACCTTACGAGAGAGGAGAAGCCTTGGTAGAAGGCTGTTGCAAAGAGTGTGGTGGTTAACGGACGTTTTAGCCCCATAAATATGATGCTTGGATTGTTGGAGAGTGAGTGGACGATCATGATTAGAATAATACAGGAAAGGATGAAGAGGGCCGTGGGTATGACGTAGGTGAACAACATGTACTCCAAGAGGGCGGCGAGTAAGATGTCAAGCTCAGAATTAGGGTCGATGGAGACGGTGGGGAAAGGGTAGGATCTGAGGAAGGAGGTGAGGGTGGAGAGGAGGATGAGGAGGAGGACGAGGACGAGGTTGAAGTACTTCTTGAAGGGGAGTTTAATGGCTTCAAGCAAGATGTTGGGGATGGCAAGGGGTTCGGGTGTCTGTGTAGATGAGGAGGGGGCTTTGATGGCTTCAAGTAAGTTTCTGGCGACGTGAAGGGCCATGGCCTTTGCGCTTGATTTGGTTGCTGATGTTGTGTTTGGTGGCTGGGATTGGGTTGAGATGAAGAAGAGAGCGAGGAAGAGGAGAGAGGAAGAGGATGAGGAGGAGGAAGAGGATGAGGAGGAAGGGGAGGGGGTTAGGAGCAGGATAAGATTTTTACAAGGGAGTTTTATGCAAAAAATCCCATCAACACTGACCGGAACAGTAACTCCGGCCAAACTTAAGGCCAATATGGCGCCGGAGTTGAAAATTTATACCAATCTGACAAAACTTAAAAAAAATATACCAACTTGTCACCAAGCCTCAAGAAATTATACCAATCTGGCCATTTTGCCTATATTTATGAGTCAAATATACAATATATTTAGAAGAAATATGCATATGCAGCTATCCGGACAGGTTTTTTTATTATACACTTATAGTAGTGTCTCATAGTATGACACTTGTATCTGTGTCTACAAGTCATGGTCTTTTTCCTACTTTTTCGTGTAACGGTCTAAAATTCATTGGCAACAACAATTATTCTGCTTCACTCCCATGGATAGACTTTATTGGTAAATTTTGATTTTATCCTCTAATTTTCATTCATGTTTTAATATTAAATGTTAATGCAGGTTTACAATGATGAATAATAAGTTCCAGCACCCAGATATGAATGATAATATCTCTACATTTCAATAACTAGTAACGATGGAAATTAATCGGCAAGGCCTTATGGGAAATATACCATAGAAAAAAATGTCTCGTCAATAACAACACAATAGTTCGGTTGATAACAAAAGCTAATACTCATGCATAATAAGGATGAAAAGAGCAGTGAGCTTATGTTCCAATTCCACATGTATTTTAGGTAATGTCAACCTCTACAAAATAAAATACAAAGTGAAAGGTGTGTCGACGCTGTCCTCATTGTGTTGAATGTAGATACCTCTTATTCAAAACCTTAAAATTGTTGTCCCGAAAACTTTCTTGGGTCAATTTATATTTTTCCATATCCATTCTATCAAGTAAAATAGTCATTGATAGGCAACTTTTTTTTGTTGTCCGAAAGAACTATCATAGTCAAACTACCAATGTGAGTCCTTTTGTTGAACCTAGATCCCAATTATGTAAAATTTATGATAGCTCATACAATTTGAGCCTTCAACCTATATTGCATATGGTAACACATAATTTGTATATTCTTCTGATAGCATCCAAACTTCTGCGATCTTGATCATTCAAAAGAAAGGTTCATGTTGCCTGTAAAGACACGTCACAATTGGTAGGAGGAAAATCCAAAGGACATGTGGTGAGCATGATATCATTTCATAGATTAAGGCTTCTAGATTGTTTTTATCTTTTTTGATGATGCATAGTGATTTGGTCATCTTTTGGGAGAATATCCAAGGCTTCTAGATTGTTTTTATCTTTTTTGATGATGCATAGTGATTTGGTCATCTTTTGGGAGAATATCCAGCTCGATATTCCATTGACATCATGGGCTCATGATGCATAGTGATTTGGTCATCTTTTGGGAGAATATCCAGCTCGATATTCCATTGACATCATGGGCTCCTATAGGTGATGAATTTACTGATCCTTTAGCATTTATGACTTTTTTTTTCCTTTTTCTATAATTATCTTGGATTTTACAATATCTATATGTAGATAACAATAATTCGTTTTGCATCTTCTCTCTGTTTTTTTATTTTATTTCTTTTTATTTTTAATTATAAATGATTAGGATGTGAGAAGATGTGTGGAGGAAGCAGGGATAGGTTTCATGATGTCTCCAATATATCATCCAGCAATGAAAATTGTCAGTCCAGTGAGGAAGAAGCTCAAAGTGAAGACAGTCTTCAACGTTCTAGGTCCTTTGTTGAATCCGGCAAGAGTACCCTATGCTGTTGTTGGTGTTTACAATGAAGATATAGTGAGTTTCTTTTTTGCTGATAATTTCTATAACTTGGCACTCTTGTTTCTATTCATCTGATATGAGTTATATGACATCAATGTCGCTATTCTTTTAATTATGTTCAAGTGAGAGTTTTTTGCTAGCATCATATCTTAGTGGTGTTAGTGTCATCCAGTGTATTGATGAGTTTCGTCATGCAAATGTGTAAAGGGCATCTGAAACTAGGGATCCCCTTAAAATGCAATTAATTGAAAGAATGAGATAAAGAAGCTAGTAGGCAACACAATGCACTACATGAAACAGAGCCATTCGAAATTTGGAAAGTGGATTTTCCTTCGTGAAACCTTATCTTTGACAGTTTTGCATCTTCGTGACTATATGTTGAAGTTGGATGCTTTTTTGGAGGTTGGATACCTGGATTTCACTACAAGGTGTTTGTAGGATGGGAGCCAGATGTCATGTTACCATATTTGTCCTTCATACAGTTGTGACTTCTATTTTCCCTTCCATTTTGAAGTAGTTTTTATTTGTAAATGTTTGCTCAAGGACTTCACGGTTTTGTTGAAGGCAATATAAGGCCTTTATAATTGCTAGATTATTGTTTTGCTAGGTAATGAAGATGGCTAAAGCATTGCAACGATTTGGGATGGAAAGAGCATTGGTAGTTCATTCAGAGGGTTTAGATGAAATAAGTCCACTTGGTAAGATCTCATCCTTTATGTGTATCTATCGGTGAGCAGTCTTCTAAGTTGTTTCTTTTTGTATAGTCTATATTTCTTTTCACAGATTTTTATTAGTTATTTATAATAAGCTTTTATCTCATAAGCTCTTAGTTGGCTCTGTAATTGTTGCAGGACCCGGATATCTCCTTGATGTGACACCAACAAAGATTGACAAGTTCCATTTTGATCCATGTAAGAATCATTTCACTCATACAATTTTAGTAGTATATATATTCAGATGTAAAATTTTGCACTATTTATGTTGTAGATATTTCTGATGGTATTTCTAGTTAAATGAAATTGGACAGTTGAGCAACAGGATCTCTCATGTAGATGAATGTCGTTATTCAGATTTCTTGTGGAATGTCGAGATTGAGTTGGTTTCATACTAACTGTGCGTGTTTGTTGATACAGTGGACTTTGGTATTCCTCGCTGCACCCTTCCAAGCCTAAAAGGAGGAGGTCCAGAATTCAATGCCAGAGTTCTTAGGAACGTACTTTCTGGTGAAAAAGGATCAATTGCAGATGCTATTGTAAGTTTTCCTGTTCTTCACGTCTGCTCCTCTTAGTCTTTCCTCTCTAGGAATTCTAAAAACTTTTACCTTTCTGGTGTAACTAGGGAAGATCAACTTTAGTAGGTTCTACCCGACTGATACCGTAGATAGAAAATGTTCTCACCCGGCCACATTCGTGCAAACAATGTTCATATATACGCTCACGAACAAAACATAATAAAATTAAATTGAATCAGTATGTGTAATTTATGTATACGCAGCGTCTAAGCTCATAGGCACAACTTTGTCAAGCCCCATCTTTATGTGATATAACTAAGTGTGTGCATAACACTTGGGTGCTCTGCAAATTTTTCTTGATGAGTCATCAAAAGTAAAACAAACAAAAAGGTGTGAATTACTAAAGAAGATAGTTTTTTATGGTTCAGCACATCCTTGTTGTAAGGAAGGTTATCGTCCAAGTGTGAGACTTCTGCTAATGCTTGTACACTTGACTAACATTGTCAAAATCCCGAAGTCGCTCAGAAAGTTGAGAAAGAAGAAAGTCAGAAAGTTGAGTGGCTTAATTTTATTGAATTTGCTTTTCTTAACATGAATTTGTTTTTTTAACAGTTAATACTTTCTTACCATAAGATATTAGTTTTAGTCAAATTAAACTAGATATCTAAATAAAAACACATGGGGTATCTGAGTAAGCAATAGCTTCTCTAGGGAACTAAGATGACTGCCTCATAAATCTGAGAGAGGCCAGAAACAACTAGATATCTAAATGAAAACATACGGAGTGTCTGAGTAAGCAGTAGCTTTTCTAGGGAACTAAGATGACTGCCTCATAAATCTGAGAGAGGCCAGAAAACAACTAGAAATCAGAAACTGTTAATGTGATAAGAACTTGCCTTGATTTCTTTCGAACGTGAGTTAGCGTCAGCTGATGCTTTAGTTTGACTGCGGGATGTGCAGGTGCTGAATGCTGCAGCGGCTCTTTTGGTGAGCGGCCGAGCGGGCAGCTTGGCCGAAGGGGTGGCACTGTTTTGCATATCTGACTGTTGAAAGATCGAAACTCCTGTAAATTCTTTTGGTGATGCAGAAACTGAAGCAAGGAGCTGCCGCAGGTCTGGGTGCTGCTTGAACACAATATTCATGGCCTCAGATTCTTTAATCGAACAGCTTTGCATCTCAATAATAATAAAAGTGTAAAAATAATAACAATAATACTCCTTGGGCCCCATACAGAGTTCTGAGAGTTGGTTCTATTGTACTTATGGCACCTTTAATGTTTTCATGACTCATATCAGAAAATGTATTTATGAACAGAGTTATGAGAGTTGGTTCATATTGTACTTATGGCACCTTTAATGTTTTCATGACTCGTATGAGAAAAAGTATTTATGAACCACCCACCACCCCACCACCCCTTCAGTGCTTGTCTGCTCGCTGAAGGGGTGAGGCTTTTTATTATTTATTTATCGTTATCCAAGTTGAGCAGAGGCAGAGTCACGAGCGAGGTTGAAGTTTGGCAGAGATCAAATCAGGAACAGCGTCAGGATTTGGTATGGGACGCAAGCCCAAACTTGTTTTCTGGGCCTCACATCTATCAACTAAACGGATGGACCACCCATTGGGGCCCGATTAAAGTGGGTGATAAAAAGAAAACCTGAAAAGATTTCCCAAGCACTATTTAAGCGCTAATTCTCTCTCGAGTTATCCGTTGTATACTTTTATTCTTCTGGATTGTCGCTGCGCGCGTGTTATAAGAAGGCTTTTTCCCCGTCTAGAAATCACCTTTAAAATATGATTATTCTATAGAAATCATCATTGGTTTTCAATTTATACATAAATCACATTTAAACATTTTTTTGGTACAATCAACTACCCCGGCTTACGTTTTTCAGTTTTTCTATAATAATTACTTTTTAATACCAAGTATATTAAAGAGATAATCTTTAAATGAGGTTAGGTTAGGGGCCAATTACTAAAAAAATAAACTTAACTGAAAAGCAAGTTCAGGTGTTTGATTTTAACGAAAACCCCCTTTAAATGTGGTTTATGTATTAATTGACAATGAAATGTGGAAACTACGATCCTATTTTAAAGGTGATTTGTAGGGGGTACCTCATAAAAAAGACGGCATGGAGCCGGATTTGATATAGTTGAGCATTACAGAACATGCTATAGAGGGGATGTGATCCAATTGGGCATCTTAAAAAAATACTATAGCGGAGCATCCACCGAGAACGATAGCCCCAATTACTTTGTCAAGTTATGTGTGCATGGAAATTTACAATAGTTCATATCACTCTCTGCTTCCATCAACTAATGTAGGTGTCTTTCTAAGTCATGTGACACCAATTTCGCCATAAACCATTTTATTACTATGGGGGTGTAATGTTACACCATTAATCAGTGAAGAAAATTACCCTATTTCTCCAATCAATAAATTATCCATTAAATCTGTACACGAACCACGATTTTTAATGATTTAATGGTTGACATCCATATATTGCACATTTAATGTCATATACCCATTTGATACTACCTTCAATCAGTGGCTCCACCTCATTAATTGATGTGTGCAGTCACCATAACAATTATCACATTCATTATTGATTATCCTGCATGCCATCAGCTCCTCTTCCCCAACCAAAGATCATAACTTTAACCAGAACCAAAAAATGCACTTGAGAGAGAGAAGAAACAGAGAAAAAAAAAATGCACGCATTTAAAGTAAAGTCATGCCAGCAATTGAACTTTCACAACATGACATCAAATGTACAAGTAAATGCAGTTATAACATCCAGCCTCAGCACTTCTATTCTAATTCCAACCCAATTTTAAACCCTATTTAAGTAGATAACTAATTCTAGCAACCCAGAGAGCCAATCTCACTCCTTAAGTTGCAAGAGCTCCAGCTTCAGTAAGAAGGGCCACCAATTTGCCTTGTCTGTGCTTTGCGATAACACCTATCGACATCATTCAAATTCAAAAAAATGTTATCATCAAGTGTATTACTTCCACTAAGCCCAAACGAAGAAGGGAGACGAAAACCATACTGTCACAGCCACCAATAAAAACATTCGGGACAGTCCTTTGTCCGGTCCATTCCACAAGTGCGGACTGAACTTCATATCCATCACCTTCACCAATAAAAAGGGAATATGGTGCGTCGATCGGTTTTTACTACGCTACCTTTTTCTATAAATTGAGTTAATAAGCAAAAAAGTTGTCTCAAAAGCGATACTGAAATACGCGTCATCTTTCGTTAGTAATGCATGTCAAATCCCAGGTATCAAACGGTAAGTACTCACTTTCCCGATCCAGCTCCATCATCTTGTAACTTGCATTTAGCTGCGAAAGCAACTGCTTAACCTGACCGGAGAATAGGCAGTAACTTGCTGCAATGAATAAGAAAATAAGGGTCTGTTATAAAGCACAAAAGGTTAATGGGAACCAAGATTATGGAGCGAAAGTTTTGCACACACACACACATATATATATATATATATATATATATATATATATATATATATATCAAACAAAAGGATGCATATAGGAGACTCTCGACAACATGATCGGTAAATATAAGCTGTCATCAAAGGAGATTTCAATATGCAACTTTAAAACCACTGCAGCCTAAAGAGGTCTTGACATAGCTGAATGGAGACAGGATGATTGCGTCCCCAGAGAGTTGGGATGAAGTTTTGTGGTTAAGCAAGCAAGCCTATGAGCCAGAACAAATTTCTATATTATTTTCCCTCTCAAACTTCTGCATATGTTTTTCAGTCCACGAAGAAAGCCATTTGCAAACGAATCTTTTCATCTTTAACCCACAGATATGTCTTCGGAAAGGATGTCCATATGATAAGTCTTATATTACCTAGGGCCATACTAGCCATTTGGATTATTACAACATATATCTTGAGATGGGATATCCCTACATTCAGCTGCATTGATGATTAAGCATTATTGCAGCAGTAACAAAGCCTTTATCTCTAATTTATAGGTCAAGCACATTAATCTCTCTCAATTTAGTACCTTAGCAGACATTGAATAATTTTCCCTTTTTATTATTAATTGGACATTTCTGCAAATGCTCCCTTCTAATTGTATATATCAAAATCAACAAGTATTATAATAAAAAGGAAATTGAATATACACATATATACAGTTAGAAGGGTGTATATGCAGAAATCTCCAATTAATAATGAATTGAGTTTTCCATTCAAGATTGTCTCATTTTGAATTAATAATTTTTTTAGATAATGTCTAATCTACCATTTGATAAATATGAAACATAAACGAATATTTAATGATCAAGCAAATTGAATATACACTTCGTTAATTTCTATTCATTTGTGAATCAAATGGTAAAGTTAATCATTCACTGCTAAATAAGGTATCGAATCAAATATGATAGAATAGTTGGATGAGGAATAACCGAATTGTTTGTTAGTTATTTGGTTCACTTCCACCCCTAAATCCTACAAATAAATACATAGTCTTTAATTTGTTATTGATGTTGCACAGGTCCCTTGATGGATATAGCCCAGTATAAGTTAATATCACCATCCAACTATAAAAGGTAAGATGGGGCCATAATGTCCGATCATCAATGATTGGACAGAATCTAAGTTGCACGGGTACATGTACGGGTCGGGAAATTTGTAAAAGTAGGGTAAGGGGGATACGAGTGAAACTATTGGGATATAATCATAATTATGACACACACACACACACGACTCTTAAATTGTAGATCTTAAGGCTGAAATGAACTCGACCCTTATCTAACAAGTTACAAATTGGATGTGAAGTATAGGATATATATCCAAGCAGTGTATGATGAGTTTTTTCAGTTAAACATGCATTGTATAGTTGAGTACATGCTAAATAAATATATGCATATATGTAAGGAGTATCCAAGAAGTGTAGGATATATTACAGGGATTGTTTTAAATATCGGATATTACGTAAATGTAGGACAATCAAAATTCATATCGGATTGCAAAAATCAGGGATATATCAGGGATATGTAGTAAATATCGGGGTGTCATATCGGATAATTTTCATGCATGCTATAACATTCTAATATATAATCTAAATTTATATAATTTCTAAACATTAAAAGTTGAATCATGAAATATCTTTAGGACGTCTAACAAACTATAGAAACTCTCTTCTCAATAGCATCATGAAACATTCGAAGTGGATAGCATTAAAAGAGATGTAGAGCAAGATTAATTAAAGAGAGAGAGAAAGGGGTAGAGGGAGAGAGAGGAGAGGGACAGAAGAGAGACGGCAGATAGACGTGATGGGTACGGGTACAGATCTATATTAGAAGTATCTAGGTAACATCGGACACAATAAATTGTTCCCAGAAAATGAGTGTTGAAAGCTCACATCCTCAAGTAAATGCAAAAAAAATATATGCATAACAAGCGAAGTATGATATCACAATAGATCACCAAGGATATACAATAATCAAGTGACAGGATCACACAAAGACTTGCTCTGGAGGATCTTTGAGAAAGAAATCAGAGTATGATTACGTTGGTTTTTACTTTTTAGCAACTTTCTTGTGGCCTTATCGATAAAAAAGCAAATCTTTGTCTTAAGAATTTTAGATATTTTACAACTTCAGAAATATTTTTGAAACTTCATTTATTAAAATTTTTTATTAAGTTTAGAATTTATATTTTGCTTATTTTCTTGTTAGGTTATAGTAAGAAATTTTATTTTCATGTAAGTTAACTCGTTTGGACCTATAAATATCCATCCTTTTATTTTCTTTAATGGATCTGATGATAGTTTTCAAGATATTGTGAAATTGAATTGCATTTGAAATGCACTTTTGAAGTGGAACCAAATACTGAGTCCTGACTCCATCCTACGTCTTCCTTGTCACAACTCTCTCTCCCTTCCTTTCCTTGATCAAATTGCCACTTAATCTAGCCAACATCATCCATCTCCAAAACTTCAAATGCTAATCTTATTTGATCTCGAAACCATGAAAAGATTAGTTAATGGAGTTCTTTGGGGTCTTGAGATTGTTGCAAATATCTCAACTATCTAAGCACACAGTGAAGGATAAAAGACGGACACAACCTTACGGGACTTCCGAATATGTTTTATTTCTTACTTCAGAAGTATAAACTTTAACCGTCTACTTATCCTTAGTTTCCTCCTTAATTGAATATGGAGATATGCAGAGCTTATATTTATTGTAGTTAAAGGCAATGCTCCCGGAAAACTAATCAGGCCAAGGAGAAACATACAGAAGACCAAAAGATATCAAAAAGATGCTTAATCAGATACCTTACTTCTAGGCTCAATAGACTTTGCCACTATTCCCATCGACTTTTTTACATTCCTGCCTCCAAACTCGAGATCATGCCCTTTGTCCACAATGGAGGCTTCACGCACTCCTACATTAATATCCCGTATATGATTAAGGCCTACTGCATAATTTTCTCCCATCAATTTTTTAACTGTTGAAGTCCCCCCCTTCTCCTCCCTAACTTACAACAGTAATCAACAACCCCTTAATAGTGTTTACCTACCTCTAAACCAGTGTTATAAATATCCAAGTGTTTGTGTTAGATCCATCACAATATCCCAATAGCAGAGAGAGAAAGAGAAAGAGAAAGAAGAGAGAGAGAGAGAGAGAGAGTAGAGAGAGTGCCTGTTTTAGAGAGTATTAAGTTTGTACCACTAAAAAAATAATAACAATATATTTATTAGTGTCCATCACTCCTCTCAACTCAACAAGTGATATCAGAGTCTGGTTTAGGATGCGTGTATCTGCTTATCGTATGCTCTGTTGCTACCACCAAAGGTGGATGTCAAAAAATAATTTAAATTATCATTTACCCTTTGAAGGCACTAGGTACTAGTTACGAGTATGGTAGCATTCATAAGTGCGGTTACTATTCATGATTATGGTTATTGTTCATAAGTACGGTTATTGTTCACGTGAAATAGCAGAAATTGTAGCTCGTGATAGAAGCAAAGCAGTCAGAGACTTGCTCTCTCCTACAATGATCCTATCGGCATTCTTGAAGGATGAAGTTCGTGTTCAGTCCCGAACTGTGAAGTTGGTTGGTTAGGGACAAGACTTGCGTGGATATATTAAATCAATACCACGTCACGATGACGAATCTGACAAATACGACTACTACACTCAAGAATCTCAACGGTAATAACTATAACTACTGGGAGACATATATGAAGTCTTATTTAGAAGGACAAGACCTCTGAGAGGTCATTGGGGGTGCTAAAACTATAGCACCTCGGGAAGCTGACAAAGCACTAAGAAAGTGGAACATCAAAACCGACAATGTTATATATGTGCTGATGACGATAGTAGAAGAAGCTCTCGTAGACTATATACGAGATGCTAGAACTCCAAAGGAGGCATGAGATATGCTCGCGATACTCTTCTCCAAAATGAACAATGCTCGGCTTTAATTCCTGGAGAATCAATTGATGACTTTGTAACAGAAGGATCTGATAATCAGTCGGTACTTCAAGCAACTAAAATCACTCTGTTCAGATATTATTCAACTAGATCCAGATTCTAAGGTATCCGATGTAATGATAAGGAGAATAATCATCCACGGTTTGAGACCGGAATATCACGGACTCGTTGTTGCTACACATGGGTGGCCAACTCAACCAACATTATTAGAGTTGGAGAGTTTGCTCTCCACACAGGAAACCCTAACCAAACAAATGATCGACATTTCAATAAAAACAAAAATGAAGCACTCTTCAGCAACAAAGAGAGAGGCAAATCAAGATGCGCAAGGAAAGAAGAGTATGAAAAGGTTGGTTTAAGGAGATAGACAGGATGACCATACACTGATAGTAACAACAGCATAAGGAGCAAGGTGATCGTCGAGCAAGGAGACCTGATAGTAGCAGCTATAACTTTGGGAAGAAATGACACTTTACCAGAGACTGCCACTACATGAGAAAACCTATAGAGAGCAATCACTACTTAGAGCGGACAGTGACTATAACGAGACGCGGGACGAATGAGTTGTTTCCGATCGAACGTCGAGACCGGATTCCTAGCAAGGCCAGGTGGTGCAGAAAAGATGGAGGAGCTCGAGAGTTTCCTCAGCAAAAGTTCTAACTTGAATGGGACTTCAAGTTCTTAAAAAGGAGACCCATGATAAGGGTGTATCTTCTCTTCGCAACTTAGCAATCCTCATGGAAGCTTGAGGATAGAAGATTCTCATGATGGCATGAGAATAGATGTGTCAAACAGTACAAGAGAACGCAGGAGGAAGCGTGGAACGAGACGATGAGCAGAAGAATCGTCTTATCCAGTTTTCAGCCTATGAGTCGACTCATAACAGTCATGAGTCGACTCATCAGGTTGAGTTAACTCATGACTGTCATGAGTCGACTCATCGCTGGTTTTTGAGTTTTGTCCAGTTTCTGACGAGTCGACTCATCTCAGTCATGAGTCGACTCATCGATGGTTTTCTGGTTCGTTTGGGATTCTGTTCCCGCGTTTTCCTGTTAGTTTTGGGTCTGGTTATTTACCAAACTGCCATCCACGTTTGTACACCTATATAAGGGATTGTTTTAGGGTATCTAAACATCTTTTAGATCAGGAAGTTTAATCAAGAGAGATTAGATTCTAGATTGAGATTTGGAGAGCTTGTTCTTCAATTCTAGAGTGAGATTGTGAGAGAGATTGTAATCTTTTGTTCTTCATAATCTAGAGAAGGTATTTTCCTTCGCCAAACTGAATTGTGCTTGTATTTCTGTCATCCTCTTCTCAACCCACCTTTGATAATTTCGCGATCAAAGGTGCTCGCACGGCAACTCGTATCAGCTGTGTTGGTCTTCCTCTAGACAGCAATTCCCGCAAATCAGACACCTAGGAGGAATCTCTTTCTAAGTGCGAGGACGAAGATGGCACCCTCTGCCCTTGCACGGGTAGGATTGGTCCCTGCCGAACATGAACTTTAAATCCATGTTGATCCACGTGAACTTGACAGACCACGTCGCATTCTTGAGAAGAAACACGAGGGCCGCGTTTAGATTTTTAAACGTTAGGCCGAGACCCGCGTTTGGTTGGTGGAACAGACCCCTGAGGGTTGTTTTTTATTTGAACGCAGCCTTGAGGTGTGCGTTTGATAGATGAAATAGACCCCTGAGGGTCGTGTTTTGTTTGAACGCGCCCCCTGAGGGCTGCATTTGGTTGGTGAAACAGACCCTTGAGGGTCACGTTTTGTTTGAACGCACTGATGAAGTGGGCGTTTATCCTTAGCAGCGTTTTTCTGAGGGCTGCATTTTGGATGAACAACACGCCACTGAGGATCGTGTTTCAGCTGTATCACCCGAGGCTCATAGTCAGGTTCATTGCAGCGAAGTGCGCATTCTGGAGTGGAAACGTGGCGTTCAGGCAAAGACTCTAAAATGCGATCCTCGCGTTGGGCAAGCGATCAACTTTCTCGAAGATGCGCTCGTCGTATGGATCTTCTCCTCCTTCGAGCGGTGTTCTTTTTGGCTTGTTTTAAAGCCTTGGCAACAACGTCTTTGGCGTTTATAGAGCTTGTCTCCTCCATAGGCCGTTTGTGACCCGTAACACGTCGTGTTGACGCAGACGTGGAACGTTTAACTCGTTGGAAGAGTTCGGCAGAGGCTAAGCCCGCACCTTTAGAGGAGGGGCTGTTTGGTGAATCTTGGCCAAAGGAGAGGGCCTCCTCGTACTTGGCCTTGGGGCTAAGCGATCCATAGGAGAGGGCCTCCTCGTACTTGGCCTAATCAAACTCTACAATGAGAGTTTCTACAGTTGTTCCCGTGAAGTGAACGTCAGATTGCGTCACCACTTCGTCGTTAGAGAAGCTCGTCCCCAGCAGAGTCGTCATCTTTTGTTTGGTGGAAAAGTTATAGTAAAGAGAAATAAAAGAAAAAATGATTTGTATTCCTTCGATCTTAATTACAATTGGATTTTCTGATTACAAAAGAGATGAGAGTGATCTGGATTCTCCCCTTTGTTTAATTCTGGATTCTTCACAGTAGCGATGGAGTGCTTCCTTCGAACGTTTGCGTCGAATTTGCTCTCCGTTGACGATCTGAACGTCTTTATCTCGTGGGAATGACTGACTTGTGTAATAAGTCTGATTAAGAACTCTTAACGAGTTTAAGAACTCCGAGCGAGTTAAAACTCTGTAACAGAGTTGTTAGAACTGAAAGTTCAGTTAATAGCCGAGTAGATTTGTTTGTTGCTGAAGAATTCTTCGAGACTTGATCTTCAAAATCTGGCCGAAATCTCTAATCTCCGAAGAATTTGCCTTTGATCTCCAGAAAATCCAACCTTTGTGCGGTTTAGATGCCAAAAGATCCAGCAAAACCGACCTCTTAACTCTGTGGAGTTTGTTAGGATTTATAGGGGATAGGGGTTGTAACTAACCCCTAAATCCGCTCCTAAGTGGGCGAAAATCCCTCAAATCGTGGGGGAAACGGTTTAAAAAACCGTTCAACTCATGTTTGAATGAGTCAAACGCCCAGAACAGCGTTTAGGATCCTAACTCTGCGTCTTAGACTTGAGACGTGGAGTTGGAATCCGCTAGAGGTTGAAAAACGCGGGGGTCGCCTGCGTTTCATTTGCTGAAGACTGGAAATGCGGGGGTCGCCTGCATTTCAAGAATTAAAAACTAAAAACACGGGGGTCGCCTGCGTTTCAAGAATTAAAACGCGGAGATGAATTGGAGATGAATTCCGCGTTTAGAAGGGACTAGTTGACTTGTAGCCTCTTCTATGGAACGTTGCAAGGATCATTGTTCAGTAATCTTTGCTTTAGCTGTTGTGGGGTGTGGAAGTCGTCGGATTGTAACTTACACCGTTGATCGTGATGGCCACTGAATAGAGTTTCCATCAGTCGTCGGAAGGGTCGTTGAATTATACTTCCTCTCGATCTATGTGAAAAGTCCTCTATTTGCAACTCTCATTTGTTGACATGAAAGTCGTCTGATTGTAACCTTCTTAGTCAAGACTGTTGATTGATGTTTGACAGGGATCAGCTATCTATTGTGATTTTTAGACAGCCTACAGGTGGTGGCTGTCGCGGAGGAACGAGGGCGGAGGATGGTGGCGGCTAGGCTCTGATACCATGAGGAAAATAAAGAAAAACCCTAATCATATTATGAGATCTCTTGGGCTTATATAGGCCCCTACAAACACAACTTACAAATAACCCCCTAACTATTATCAATATGTCAACATTTATTTGTCCTAACAATAGTAAAAACAAAAGAGCTACTGGAAGTTCATAGTTATCAGTTCTGATTTCTTGTTGCCAGTTCAAAATGGCTTCCAGCTTAAAATGTTAAGGGAAACCACGTTCAAATGCGCCAAAGCTTATGAACCATGATTATAATCATGGTGACCACAGCCACTGTCAATCTGAACCAAAATAGACCGCGAAAATGTTGTCACAGATCTAGCCATCTAGGGAG